ACTCTAGAATTGATTTAAAAAATAATTTACATGATAAATTTTATTATGCTTACCTCATTCACCTTACTATTTTTCCCATTCTGGCACGATTATAGGCCTTTAATTTTGGATCAGCATTTATTGTTGCTGTTTGTCGTTGCATCTTATAATGTTGTTTTAAAATTTTTTCAATCATGCCAGAATAGTGCCGATATCCTAATAATTTTTTTGTAATAGTCAGAATCAGCTTTTGCTTCACATGCTGCAATTGGCTAGCCCATTGTTTAGTCAGATCAGGCTTTAGGTTAGATAGCTTATCATCTTCTATTAATACTTTAATTTCATTCTTAGTAATAATAATTATAATAATATTAATGGGTATCCGTTAGCCATACTAAATTTAATACAAAATACTTAATTTAATACAATTAATAAACTGAAATTTAGAAAAAATTTTATTATTAACCTTATATTAAATTTTTATAATAGATAAATATATATCTATTTAATGTAATTGTAAGTTTAGAGATATATTTTTTTGATAAAATTTATATTTATTAACTCAGAAGTGAATTTAAAAAATAAAAAATTATTAAAAATTATTAAACTCTAATATAAATTTTTACTTATAATAAAATTTAAAAATTTTAATATAAAATTTTAATAAAACTATTTTTAATATAAAATATTCAATAAAAATTAATTTTTTTTACAATATATTGTCAATATTTTATAATAATTTATAATAATATTAAATTTTTAAACTAAAAATTTTTATTAAAAAATTTAACTAATTTTTGAAGTTTTAAACAAAATTGTAATTATTAAAATATTTTATTAAGATGACAACCTTAAATTTTTAATTAAAGTTTGTATAGCTAGTGTTTCTGATTCTAATGATAGTAAAATCATTAAATTTAACCAAAAACTCACTAAAGTACAAATATTTTATATTTAGTTTATATATATATATATATACTGTATATATATATTTATATAAATTTACAAAAAATATATAATTATAAAAACTAAAACCTATATATTTTATAAAATTTTTAGTAAAATTTAATAAATTTATTTTTATAATAATCAGAAAAGCTAGCTTTACAAATTTTAATTAAAAACCTATAGATATTAGCTTAATAAAATTTTTCAATAAAAATTTATTTCTGCTCTCTTAAA